CTAGACACATGCTCATCTTAAAATTATTTTGCGACATTACTATTGAACTGAATTTTATGGTTTAAGTGCAAAGAACGTGATATTTAATAAATAAAGGTAATACACAAAACGTTAAAAAAAATGCCCTTTTGGACGTAATTTAAAATCTAAAACCTTTAAGTTTTTTTTTTCTTTTTGCGCAGTGTACATATATACCACCCCTTTATATTTCTTTTATTTTCACAATCGTTGGTCGTAGGCACATACATCCAATTACAGAAGTATTTTAAATGATGAAACTGTTCATGCTTTGATAATTTCAAATTTAAAAATAAATTTAAATTTGCACAAATAACGAAATCTAACGTTTAATGTGGTCTTCCGGTTTCTATATTTATATTATATTTGGGAAAGTTTTATAGTCGTTTTGAAGGAATAAAAGTACAATAAGTTTAACTTCCATACGACAAAAATATACCGGAATATTTGATTTCATTTTTGATGTCATTTTCAGCTTGCCTTGAGGGATCAACTAATTAAGTTAGAATAATTCTAGGAAATATATTAAATGAAGGGATTAAAAAATGTGTATAAATTAATAGACTTGCAAGGAAGTCTTTTGGTGTCTACATCAGATTTTTTTTTCTAATTTTATTGTCTGGAAACAGAGAGGGGAGAATTATGCGAATCATTTAGTTTTCGAATGACACAGTTACGGTAAGAACATAAGAAATGAAAATTAGTCATAGATAAACTGTCAGAATATTTTTTCGTTAATAGAAAAACCTAAAGAACTTTCATTGCAATAAGAACGTATAGTAATAGTAACATTACTACTATATCTAATATGATATCTTTATTTCTATTTCCCTGTCACGTGAGTTTCACCCTTTCTTATTGTTGTGTCTGCTACTCCTTGTGCCTCAAATCATCCATGCATAGTTAGAAAGAGGGAATGTGCAACCAAGTTGGTGAAATCGTTAACCGAATATCAGCTTACGTTTACTTCGCAGTGACAGATTTTGTATTAAACTGCCAAAAATTTCAAAAGTTAGAAGGGGAATGCATGACATGACCGTCGCGAGTAGTTTGCAAGGGCTTGGTTTTATAAGTAACACGAAAACAGTCATTACATTAACGAGTCCATTTTAGTATTTAGGGAAGCTTATTCTCTGAAGGCACTGAGGAATGGAAAAACGACGGAAATATTTTTAATTTTTTCCGAAACTGGCACTAAAACCCAAGGAAGAAAAATACGCTAGGAAATTCTTTACTACTAAATTAAGGTATACTTAAATCTAATTCCTGACATTGTCTATTCATTTAGTATGCAGTAATGCTTTTAAAGTTGAATAGGCTTTTGAGTTTATTCTTATCCGTTAATTTATCGGAAACCAAAGCACTGCATTCGTATTGTGCTAAAATATATTTTAATGCTGCCCGAACGGTTTAGTGGTTAGGGAAGCCTTCTGCGGTACCGAAGGAACCGGGAAGGCATGCCCGGAGAGGCATGAATCTCGAGTGCCGGAGTAGGCATGAATGTTTGTAAATGTATAGTATTCGTGTGGCACTCTAAATATATGGCGTCCCGAATGTCTTCTCGAGAGGTTGGTGGTAGGGAAGGATACCCTCAGACCCGTCGCCACCCCCCCCGGCGTGCTCTGCATCAAATTTGGGGACGGAACTGAGCGAAGTCGTATTGTCACCTCAACGCTATTGCTGTCAACAGGCGCAATTTCACACTCCTTGCCTTGCCACGATGAATTTCGTGGGCTTTTTTTGATGTTACTGTCAGACAAATGAGATAAGTTACAACACATATATTTTAATTGCAGGGAATGCATCTCTCAGTAGTTTCAGATTTCCATAGTTTTTGTTAATTGTTTTAAAAATGTTGCTTCCTCCAGGAACAGTCCATTATTGTTCTTTAACAACGAATTTCAGCTTTTTTAAACCTGTGTTATAGATGAATTTAATAACAAAGAAGCAAAATTGAGAAATTGCGCACGTATTACATTATTGTCTCGCGTTTGGTTTTACCTAATATTTAACGCCAGGTTCTAAAAATTTTCAAAAATATTCTCATAATTTTTTCGCTTCCTCAATGCGTTAGAGAACGACCTCCCCTAAATTTAAAAAATAACTTTTATTTGAAGTATACACAGGGACAGAAAACGATGCAAAGTCAGTAAATAATTTTAAGTAAGGTATTCAGCATGCGTAGTGTTTGCATTAAAAGTCATGAAAGCATTAAAAGTAGTGTAGTGCATTAAAAGTCAGGAAGATAAACTGATTGCATAGGAATATAATAGTAAACAATGAACTTTTACATTGCATATGTTTGGTACAAGGTTTTGGAGTGAATTAGGAAAGTTAACGGCGAAAGCATACGCTCCCAAACAAATGATTTCCTTCTTACGCGTCCTCTTCAAATGGCAGGAAAGCATATCCTTTCTCAGAACAACGCTTGGTAATTGGCATGGCGGAATGGTCTCGACCTACTTTCTATGTTATATTACTGTAAGCGTAAAGAATGATGCAGCTTTGAGGTACGAATGAGAAGGCGAACGCTATAAAAGCCTCTAAACAGTAAAATCATTGATGCATTACATAAATTATGTTCATAAATATGAGAGGACATCTGTATGTACGGAGAGAATGAAGGTCTCTTCATTCAAAATCGAATTATAAAATGGATTCCAAATGCATTTTTTCGTGATGTCTCTACCTGCGTATCGATGTTTCTCCCATAACCCAAAACCATTAGCCGTAGAACATTGAAAATTTTATGTGGAAGTGCTATAACTAGTTGTGCAACTCTACTTCTTATTGCAAATGTCAGTACTAACAAAAGTATACCATACATGTATATAAACCTACCCCCTTTACCCGACCTTTTTTTTTTTCGCAATCATTCCTGGTAGTCATACACTTCTAGTTACAGAAATATTTTAAATGACAACAATATTCATGTTTTAGGAATGTCAAATTAAAAAAAGAATTTTGGAAAAATAATGAATTCTACTTTTTAATACGGTTTTCCTGGATCCTATACTTATATTTCGAAAAGATTTATACTCATCGTGAAAAATTAAAAATACAAGGAAATTTGAATCTCTATACAAGAAATTTGGCTGGGATATATAGTTTCAAAATTTCCAGTTTTTTAAATTGTTTCCAACTTGCCTTGAGGTTTATGTTATTTAAGTCAGAATAATTTGAGGAAATACGTTTAAATGAAGTGCAGCAAAAATATGTATAATTTAATAAGCGTGAAAAGAAGTCATGGGGTAAGAAATAAGAGGAAGAACACCCTCCCTGGTGCTCTCCGAACCAAAGATATTTAAAGTTTTAAAAGCCCCAAGAAACCAAAGAATGAAGTCATGGGCCCACATTCGAAGTCATGGGGTGTCCACTTCAGACTTTTGCATTTTGTGTCTCACCATTTTTGCTTTTCTTCATTGATCTTTGTTTAGCGTAGTTTTTTTTTTTATTATTTTTACTGTTCTGTTATGCGTAGGCGATTTTGCCTTTTGTGCACTTTTGGTTTTTCGAGTTTTCTTTCTATTATTTCGTATAATTCTACTTTTTTCGTACTCCAAGTTGTTGCTTTGATTTTTTAAATCTTTTCTTTTAAATCCCTTGTTTCATTTCGTGGTATTTTAAGTTAACTTTTTTACTACTACATATATATTTTCTTTCGAGTCGCCTCAGGGCAGAAAGTTAAAATTTATTTAATTTTCTTGAATAATTTTCTTTAAATTTTCCATAAACATATACTCTTTTTATTTAAGTTTGCATTTAAGTTTTTATTTTTACAGCGGATTTATTGCGCGTATCTGTGACTTACGTTTCTTTCTGCACTTTGATTTTAAACTTTCAGTTTTTATTGTAAAAAAATGTTTTTGAAGTAGTGAAGAAAAGGATGCGCGTTTTAAGCAACGCAATACGAATAAACTTCAATTTAGATCAAAATGGTGCGAAAGAATATGAATTATGATGTGTCGGGAACTTAAACTAATGGTATTTAACTTTATGATATTTCGTATTGCTGGAAACATAAAGGTCCACAGTAGAATAACCATATGGATATGAAGTATAAGAGGATATCTCTGAATTGAAAGATGTCAAAGCGAAAAAACAGTAAATAAGACATGAATAAATCCAATAATAATAGATTTGATCTAAATTAAAGTATCCAAAATTTTATGTTTTGTCATTCGTATTACAAAAAAAATTTATAAGAAATTAGCAAAGCCATAGTATAAAACTATAATGTAAAACACATGACTAGTTCCGGAAGTGTCTAGTTATCAGTAGGATTAAATGTATTACAATTATTCAGTGAACAATTACTACAATTATTAATTTATTACCAATATTAAGTGAACATTATTTCGAATGAGCACACATTCCAGGCTAAAATTAGTTTTTGTTGCTTACTTGTTGTGAAATAATTCGCGAAGTTTTAAACATTTTAAAGCAATATAAAGTATACTGTGACTATTAAACATTATTATATTTTTGAAATGAAGAATGTTTCATTTGCGTTTATGAGTATCAATACCTCTTCGAAAATATTTAAATAAAACGATTTGATTTCATTATTGGTTTTCAAAATAAGATTCCAATAATCTTTCAGACCTTATAAATGCTTGAAAAAAATGAGACAAAAATGTGAGAATATTTGTTGTAACATAATATTTTAACATTTGAAGATGTGAAGATTATTATGAAATTCCGAAATTTATGTTTTTACTCTACATAATCGTTGTATGTTATTGGAAGTACAAGAAGTCTCTGAATGTATAAAAACTCCTTTAAGTATTTAAAAATTTTTTGTATCTCTTGATACTCGATGATTTCAGCGGTTATGTGTTCAGGTGAAGGCCAGTGAAATGTTTAAAATCATACTAGTCATTTTTAGTAAATTAGACGAAAACAAGCTATTATAGAACAATTCTGTTTTGTTGAAAGAGAAATTTAATGGATGTAAAACAATGTATTTTATCTTATTTCAGGACTCCATTCTGTAATGGCTGCAACAGGTATAACAGCGTCTTCTCAAAAAGGAGATTCCGAGGATGCTGAAACTGAGGATCATGTATGGCTGGAAATGATGGCAAAGTGCCTTGAAAACTCCACAAACAAATTGCCACATTCGAAGTTGTTGCTTGTCTTGGGAGACGGTGATGGAGAAAAAACTCTTCTTGTTGGTAAGTTACAAGGTACTTCAGACAAACTTCGAAAAGGTAATGGACTTGAATACCATTTTCTGAACGTTAGAGATGAATATTGTGAAAATCAAACAAAGCTAGGTGTTTGGGTCCTGGACGAAGACCCGAGGCTGCAGAGCTTATTGAAATACGTTTTAGATCAGACCACGATATCAGAGACGACAGTTTTGCTGACAGCGAGTATGGCTAAGCCTTGGAACATTTTCAAATCCATAACTACATGGGCTCAAATTTTAGATGAGCATATTAAAAATTTAGACATGCCTTCTTCAGCCTTGGAAGAGCGAAAATCAAACGTACTCAACCGGTATCGAGAATACATCGAACCTGGTTTGAGTGTCTATGGTTCACTTACCGGACAAGAAATAGGAGAACCCAAAGAAATAGAAAATAATTTAGGGGTAGAAATTATAGTTATCATAACGCAGACTGAGCATATGACAACATTGCAAACAGATTTTGGTTATGAAGATGAGCATTTTGATTTCATACAATATACTCTTCGAAAGTTCTGTCTATCTTATGGTGCTGCTCTATGTTACGTGTCTGTGAAGGACGATAAGAATTGCGATTTGTTACTTAAGTACATTTTGCACAAGGTGTATTCTTTCCCGTTTAGGATTCCTGCTATATTTTTAGAAAAAGATTCCGTTTTTGTACCTGCCGGATGGGACAGCGCAAACAAAATACGATTCTTAGCGGAAACCATGACGACAATAGACGCACTTTCTGCACACTTTGAAGACGTCATTATCAAACCAGGTCGTCTTTCTGCAAATCCGTGGCTTCCTGAAATCGAAGCTGATAACGATCAGGACTTCCTTCTAGCTTTACAAGGCGCATTACTGCGCCAGGCTACCGACGAGGCTTCTGAATCTGCTAAAGAAAACCAGGCGGCTGCTGGAGTACAAAGAAATGCTACACGCCGAGTATCTCGATCACCAAATGTTCGAACATCTCAAAAGAAATCAGAAACCAAACTGACAACAGTTGAAGGAGATACAGTTTTGCATACATTTTTTAAAAGCCTTCTCACTAGAAGGACAAGTGCGCCAGTGGATAGGCCTGTTGGAACATCCGGCAGTAGGACTTACGCATCTAAAGACCCTTCCGAGGTCCATGTAAATGGCCTTGATAATAAATGTCTAAAGAGCAGTTCTAGCGTAGATGGCAGTGATAGCAGATCTCATGAGCATCCGCAGGATAGTGAGAATATGAGGAATTACGAGGTATCAAATATATCCTCAAATGAAAATGGAAAAGGTGAGACCGCACATGAAAACGAGCTTGCACCTTCGTCTTCCTTATCTGCTCAGCACGATCTAGATACACTAGTGGAGGATGAAGGTTTAGAATCCATGTCGGCTTTCTTGAGAAGATGTGCAAATTCCAACGCTTCTCAGGGAAATAAGAAATTTGGTAACAATATTAACTTCCCTTTAGATCAGGATAAAGATGTACATCAATTGCCAGAATACTTCTTGAGCAGCCGTGGTTCTGGTACTTGTGCTCCCGATTGTTGTTATCAAAATAATAGTTCCTCCGCCAATGGCGATTTGGAATCAGATTTTAGTTTACCACTAGACCGGGTAAGAAGCGAATTTAATCCACCTTTGCGACTCATTCTTGAAAATCCAAATTTGCCTCTAAGCCAAAACGTTGCTTTCCCGGTGAGAAAAGGAACGGAATTCGAGAATTCAGTACAGTCTTCCGTTGTAGCTAATTCTTCAACAATTCCTTCAACTTCGAAATCTCTTACTGAAACAGCTATATTGAACGACCAAAAGACTCTGCCCTCATCCAAGTCAACCAATAGTGGGTTTGCATTAGTTCCACCTATTGCAGTGAAAAGTCTGGAAAAACATAAATCTGTAAATGAACTATAAACTGAAAGTCACAGAAATGAATTTGTTTCAATTTCTGCTTTTTAATTCCTCGCATATTTTGATTTGTATGTAGGAATATATATGTAAGTTTACTTTGCTTCTGTAAATGTTATTTATATGTTATTCTCTTTCAGAGAGCTGTTTTGTAAAAGCTGATGTTAAGAATATGAGACACAAAAAATTCAGCATTTGTTATCATAAAATAAAAATTTATAACTCTCATTGACTATAAAAACGTACAAATGTTATTAATTTATTAATTCATATCTACCTTGTGTATCAGAAATAAAATATTTTCTGCTGTGTTGTAATATTAATGTTATTCCTTTTTAATTTTTAGAATTGCCTATGGCTGCTACTAGAGTATTATTTCGAAGCATTCGTGTGAAATGTTTAGCTTAATGTCCCCCAAATGTCCGTTTTTGCATATTTTATAATGATATCTGAAAGCATGTGTGTGTGTGCGGTTACGATAATTTTTTTACTCATGATTATTCATAACAAACTTCCAAGAATTTCTATTTTTCTAACAAAACAAGTACCAATTCTTATTAAAACCGCAGCATGCCGCCGTGTTAGCTCCACACTATTTCTTTTTACCAGGTTGGTAAATTTTGTACCAATCACCTTGAACGAAAACTAGAGGAAATTCACTGCCTACCGACAATTCGAAAAAACTATCCTTATCTCTTTAAAGGAAGCCACTGCATAAACCCGGGAAATGCCGGTTAAATTAGCTGGTATATATATATATATATACACTTAACAAAACAAAATTATAACTTAACTTAGAAAAAGCCCTTTAATTCCTCATTTTAATCTGGGTATTTCCCTTTTTATTTTAAAAATAGTGATAACTTCTCCTGAACTCCGTCATTTCTATATTAATTCATATCATATAACTTTTGCAGAACGATGATAACATAGCTAATTCGGAACTTGAACTCAAAATTTCGTACCTTTCTTTTAATTAACTAGATAACTACGCACTTTGCTTCTACCTATGCTGCTGCGCTACTTTCTTCCTATCGCAACGATATGAAAAATCTGATCTATATTAAAAACGTGTGTTATGTATATATATATATATATGATAGAATAAAAGCAAGGAAAAGCCCTGAGCACTTCTGATGCGTACCACATTAAAGAATTCTGATTGCGTAACATGTTGACTGTGTAATACATTTAAAGAACTTGGCAGTCGAGGCGGTTTTAATTCCGTTTTTATTTTCTAGTTGACAATTGTGGCCACAATCACTTGGCACTAGTCGTGCCTTTTTACAGAATATTTACATTTTTGATATTTTTGCATATGTAATAAGATTGTTCCATTATCGAAATAAAACTGCGTTATTATTGTGATAAATATGACTTGGTGAGAGTTGAGTTGCAACAGATTGGCGTTGGAGAATACTACATCATAGCTTGAAGACTTTGTTGCTTGCGACGCAGCAGAAAGTAGCAGAAGAGACGAGAATAAGAGTTGCGACGTAATTAAGCTTTTATACGAAGTCCATTTCAGATCACATGACACTTTAATGTACAGGATTTTGTGTTCAGATTTCATCGGTAAATGTGCATCAGAACTGCAGGGAGAAAAAATTATTGCTGTTATTTTTAGAATGAAACGGAAGTTAAGGGCTATTAATTTATTATTTGATAGCTAGATTTTATATTTTACACCCCCCATATATATATATATACTACACAAATATATTTTGAAGATCAGACACTATCTCTTATCTTTCTACTTCCTTGTACAAAGTAAACAAGTATTGTAATAGCGAAAATATCTGCATTGACCGTTCCCGAATCTCTTTGACTATTTTTTTGCGTGACGTCTGTACGTACGGAAAGAATGAAGAACTCTTTATTCCAAAACAAATTGTAAAGTAGGTTCAAAAAAATTTTTTTTGTGATGTTTATACTTAAGTTCGTACATACGTTTTTATCTCGCATAATTCAAAAACAATTAGCCATGAAACGTTAAAATTATGTATATAACTGATATAACATCTGTTTATTCGCTTTCTTTTCTTACTGCATCGGTAGTACCAAAAGTATATGTATGCATGTATATATCTTTACCAACCCATTCATCTGACTTTTATTTTCGCAATTGTTGATTTTAGTCATAGACTTCCAGTTACTCTAAATAATGAGAATATGCATGTTTTGGAAATTTAAAATTAAAACAAAATAATTTATATAAAAACGATTTTGTCTTAAATGATGCAGTTTTCAAGAATGGAAATTTGATTCTGTCAGTTATATATATCTGATACATTCCCTTTTAGGGCAGTGTCATTTTAACATCCAAAATTTGTAGCTCCGTTTGTTCCGTTTTTTCTTGGGGAATGCTTGAATAAACTCTGCGATGTATGCATCTGTTTCGATTACATTTACTCGAGAAGAGGGGGGGGGCAAATTAATGAAAAGGTGATCTTCGACTCGATAATATTGAACTGTTGAAATCGTTTTTCAGATTTATTTCAAAGTAATTGAAAATTGATGAAAAATGCGGACTAGTGAATTTCAGCTTCGGCTATAATTTTTTTTTTTAATTTTAAATTTTGAGAAATGCACAAGTGCCTTCATCTGCAGATGTGATGTCCTTAAAATCAGTTTAAATATAAACGACTTATCCTATCTTCATTCTTCAATTACAAGTTCAAATAATTCAATTTCTGAATTATATGTATTGAAGAAAGCCAGCGAAAGGCCGGTACTTCATCAAAATTTTTATTTTCAGCATTGAAATAAACTCTATTTCTTCAGTTTTCTTCAATCTACAAATCTTGCAAAAAACTTTGCCTTTACTGATCTTCCGTACTTCCCATTGCAAAATGAAATCAGTATATTTGAGTAGGGCCTTGAAAAGCAGGTGTTCCAGAGGGGGCTGCTCCAATAAAGTTTACTATATTTACTTCCTCGTGAGAAGTAAACTAACTATTGTTATCGCGAAAAATTTCGGGCGTCCTATTTCAATCAAAAACAATCATTTTGACTCCTCTCGAATCTATCTGAATGATCTTTTGCATGGCATCTGTGTATACGGAGAGAATAAAGGGCTCTTTTTAACCAAACGTAAATTTTTAATGTAAAACATTTTGTAAAATGGATTTATAGTGGATTCAGAAGAGAGTTTTGTTTCGTGACATCTGAACATACGTACTTAAGTACGTGTAGCAGTAGAACTGTATATACAGCAGTAGCAGTAGACTGTACATACGTACGTAAGTACATGTAGCCGTAGAACGTCGAAAATTTGTATAGGACTGTCACAACATATAGCTGTGGCGTCTCTTTTCCGTTGCAATCGGCCTCATTAAACATATGCATATGTAATATTTTAATTGCGTAGGAGGAATCTGGTACTTTTTTCAATATTCGTCATGGGTGAGAAGACAAGAGTGGCTGAAGGTAAAAACCATGATGATGCAGTTAACACAACGGAACTTGAAGTATCGCATTCTTTATTTTCACGCATACAAAACCATCTTAGTAGACATTTATTCAATCATACTGAAATACGACTATTTTTACATACACTGGTTTTAAAAGTACAACGTAAGCTTTTTAACAACAAGGCAAAGCAGCGCGATGTTGGCAGAGTAGAAGTTAGGGAAAGGAAGGTGACGTAGTTAACTTGCTAAGCCGTATTTATACTGAGTGTATGCAGAAAGTACTCTAAGCTGACTGGTTAATTTTAGCTTTAGTTACCTCTTTCAAGAAGCGGTATCTAACATGGAAAGATCTTGAATTAGAGAGAACAGATGAATTTAGGGGGAGAGCATAAAATCTAGAATCGTTAATTTTGAGGTCGCCAATTATTTCTTAAAGCAGCCATCATATTTTGTTATATCTTATATACATGTAATGATTTTAAAAAATGCGTAGATGAAGACACTGTTTTTTGAACAACTTACGATATTAAGGCCGCATTCCTGCATAACTAATAAATGTAATAATAGCACAATTTTGGAAGCACTGATATAAGAACACTGAAAATGCGCAGAGATACTGATGGCGTAGCATGCTTAGAGCGTCCATCCATTTTTAAAAAGAATAAGCAGTCGAGCCGGATTAAAATCCGTATTTATTTAAATTCACATTTTGGTGGCCACATTTCACTTGGCACTCCAATCGTGCCTACTTTCCGAACATTCACAATTTTGATTCCATAGAAGCAAATATAGCAGCACATACATGATCGCAGCAAAGCGTTTGGCAAAGAAGAAAGCACAAGCAAAAGTGACACATCAGTTCATAGACAGAAGGGAGGGAGTCAAAGGTTTCAGTTTTTGGTTTTGGTTTACAATTTGGTGATTGGTCAAGAGGCATCTGCATTAAGGGTTACGTAAGATCGCATGATTAATTTTAATGATTCAGTTTAGACTTACAGCGGTATTTTTAGGACAGGTAGATGAAGTTCCCAAATGAAATAAGAAATAAAAGAGCCTCTAGTGAATTAAATTTAGAAGTTTGTTTTCATATTTTTTATCTTACATATATATACACTCCTCTTCCAAAAATAAGCACCGAAGGCAAAACACGGAATGAAAAACTATTTAATGGATATGCATGATACTGATCCAAGAGATTATTTTGGCATTACTAGACCACATATCAAACAATAAAGCAAAGACATCCAAAAATACATGTATTATGAAAATCACATCACAAGAGACCAAATGGGTTGCAAGAATGTGCAATGGAAACATAACGCTAATAACGAATTTGATAACCTCTAGCTGAAATGCCTGTTTGATAAAGGCCAAGCAAACTGGCAGTAGTATCGTTGACCACTTGTTGTAGCCGTAGTGCACATTCCTGTAGTAATATATGTCGGAGCTCGTGCAGGGTGACTGTCGGTACACTGAGACCTGATACCCGTCATCCCAACATGTCTCACACGTGCTATATGCGGTTCAGGTCCGGTGATCTAGCAGACCACGACAAATCTGAAATAGTTTCACTGTCCAGATAACTCCATACCACTCGAGCTCTATGCGAGTGGGCGATATCGTCCATAAATATCTCGCCGGTACCCAAAGTGATAAAAGGACAAACAAGAGTGAGTGGAATTTCGTCCCGATATAGAACGGATGTGACGGAATCACCAGAAATTACACAAAACACAAAAGGTAGGTCCGGCCGTTCGTTGCTATCTAAACCCATGCAAGTAAGCCTCCTCCTCTGTAATGGTCTTTTTGACAGTGTTTGGCGCCCGATGGCGTATCTCTGGCTCTCACCATATCATTGCCTGTCGAGAATCAACCGCGCTTTGACATGCGATGAGGACCACGGAAC